CACAGACAGGGTGGATTTGACAAGGGTAGATTTGGGACTCAAGTTTACGCCTGACTGGCTCCGGGCACTCCGAATGTTCAGTAGCTGTGACTCCACAGAGGCAGAAGACTTCCTGGGGGAAAACCTTGGGAAACTTTTCTATGAATCTTAATATAAATTAATATGTGAAATAGTAGAGTATAGAGTATGCAAGGATATTCAGGCCTGCTTCTGTATTTTGGGGCACAGAGCTAAGAGATCTAGTGGGGACCACGGACCCATGCTCTGTCCCCTTTCATTCCACACCTGGCTCAGTTCCACATTGTAAGGTGTCTCCTGCCCTCTCTTGGCCCTGGGTGCTCTCAGCAGAATGGGTGCTGGGAGAGGGCTTATGCAAGTCTCAGAGGAAGTCTCAGGGCAGTTTTGGTAGACAAATTCAGAGCTGTGAATACTTGGAGGAAGGTCTGGAAAAATGGTTAATGTAGGTAACAGATGACCATGCACCATGCACCCTTGTCTCCCTTACAGTGACAGCTACAGCTGGCAATGCAAGCCAGGCCAGAGGCTCCAGTGTCTGGGATCAAGGGCAGTGCTAAGTATGGCGCTGTGGGATACCAGCTTTCACACACTAGCACAGCTTGTGTAATTACTAAGCCATCAAGAGATGGTATGTTAAAACCTGGGCTGAGACTGATGTGCTACATGAAGTGCACCTCTCTGTATGAGCTGTCCTTCCTCTGTAAATGCAAATATGTGGCCAGGGAGGGATGGTCACATCAGCAGGTTGGCAAGCAGGAGAGAGTAAGTATTTCATTTTTAAAAATTCTAGTGATCAAATAGGAGAAATTTGAATTATGGATGAACTGGGGGGAAAGTCAAGAAAGTTGAACCACTTCAACTTTCATCACTGTGAAAGAGATGAAATGGCCATGCAGAAGTTAGTTGGGTTGGTGCAAGGCAAAGGCAGTTAAGCTCTAGTGCGAGGTTCACTTTTCCAGTAGGAGCTGTAGTGTCTTGGTTTATGTATGTGCATACCTTGTAAAGTTATCTTGAGAGTTAACTCTCAAGGCCAGTAAAGGCCTTGTTCTTTGTTCTCTGTTAAGAAAGAAAGAGCAAAAGGAGAGAGGGAGGAAGGGAAGGAAGAAAAGAGCGAGGGAGAAAGGAAGGAAGGAGAAAAAAAGAAAAAAAGGAAGAGTATAAGAATTTGATACACTTCAAGATCATGGGGAACTTTTGAATAAGTGACTGAGCATATCATTTTGGTTATAAATAGGTGTACTGCTCTAACATTACTCACACAAGAAAATTTAACATCAAAATTAGAATCCAAGAATACTAGGCCTTGTTTTTTTAAAATGTATATTTATCGACACCTAGTGGCAGAATTCTAAACTGTTCTAGCATACCAGAACGATAAATTGTTCACAATGTAATTCTCAAGCCATTCTAAATGAATTTATTCATTTGTTTATCTTACACTATTCATTAAGTTCTTATTATGTATCCAGAACTGTTTTTGTGTAAAATGCAACTGTGCTGAACTATATATCTGGATTTAACACATGGCTGGCATACACGTTCAATCATTACTACATGCTAAGCACTGCACTAGGAAGTTGCTATACATTATCTCATTTAAATTTGACAACAAAATTCAAAATTCTTATCCTTTTTCTCAGATGAGGAAACTGAAGCTTGGAGAGATCAGGTAAGTTGCTCAAACTCAGTTAATTAATTAGTTGAAGAAATGCAGTTAATCCTAAACTGCCTGGCTGGAATATTCATGTTCATTCATTTTACCACACAATATCTTAAATAAGTCATTTATAAATTCATTTATTTAATCCACATGGATCTGTTTAGTTTATATATTTACATGTGCATTTGCATGTATGTAAAATCAATGCCAGAGATGGTATTATTAAATGAGGACTCATGGACTTATTTACAAAATATTTGTTGGGCACCTACTATTTGCCACACATTAGGAGGAGTGTTGACGATACAGCAGTTGGCAGGAAGATATGACCCCTGTCCCTGGTGTGCTTACAGCCAGTAGAGCAGAAGGCTGTTAATCAGATAATCACACCAATACTGACTTCTGCGCAATTACAATCTGGGATATACATTTTACTTCAGCATACTGACAGCTCAAGTATGCATGTACTTAAGAATCTAACTGCTCCTCAGAGTTCAAAAAGAGCTTCCCCAACAGTGCACTGCTTCAGCTGAGATCTGAAGGATGTGCATAACTTAGCCATTTGTCGTAGTAGTGGCGGGGGCAATTGGAGACGGTGAGAGGAGTGTTTGGCACAGTGGGGACAGCCATGTGGTAGAAGGGAGGACTGTACACTCTGGGAAGAAAGGAAGTGGAACATCAAGTGTGACTGGGTAAGTAAGTGGGTAGATAAGTGGGGAGGCCACACTGCAGCCTTGCCCAGGATGCAGTGCACGTTCACCAACGTCAGGGCACAGGCACTCGCCCAAAGCCGGGGGAAGAAAGGTTAGTATAGGTGCAGGGCAACCTCTGTGCATGGTCTGCACTGTACCTGAGGCTGGGCAGTTGGCCACCTGCTGACTCGATTCCACAACCTCTGGGTTGAAATTACTTTCACGGGTGGCTCTATTCCATGACACATTTTATTCTTTTCCATGTGGCCCCTGATTTCTTCTTCTGTAAATAGAACCCCAAATCTTTACTTCTTTTATCTCTACCTTATTTGTCTTTCCCCCTGTTCTACCCTACCGGACAATATTTTCTAAGTGTTCCCCCAATACTAGGAGAGAAAAAAAGGCTAGGTGTCTTTATGTTAGAAAAGCACCTCTCTCTCTCTCTCTCTCTTTCTTCCTTTGCATTCTCTCCCTGGTCACATTTTTCTCTAGATGCACTGGGTGCAACTCCACATTGAAAAGGACAGAGGAGCATGAAAATAAATTACTAGGAAAACAAATAAACAAATATTGTGAGGTATCTCAAAATAGTATTTTCTCCATATGTCCTGAAAAAATTGCACTCCTGAAAAATAACATGTAGTTTTCTAGATATTTGGCTTTCAGTGAAAGTAGGGAGGGTCTTCAATTGGTTTCTCCAAGACAGTATCTTCCCACCCAAAGACACATAAGCTAGTGTCAGTAGTGTTTCCCCACAAGTTCTCCGAGAGTCAGATGAGGGAAACTGAACTGCTCTCTCAGAGAATAGTTACTGTCAAAGAAAGAAATTCCAAATCCAAAGAAATGCTTAAAGAGCTTATTTGAGCCAAGGGTTAAAGGCCAGACCCAGAAGCAAAATGTTAAAGGATTGAGGAAATGATCTCAGGAATGGTAGTTTTGCAGTTTATTTTATGCATTAGTTTCAAAGGAGAAAATGTAAGGAAGATTACATGAAATCCATTGGTGGTAGAATTAAAGGAGAAGAGAAAGTAGAGCAAAAAATCTCTAGATTGTATACAAAATAAAATGAAAAGATACACATTCCTTTCACACTGGTGGGTGCAGCATAGTTAATACATAACATACATGGTGTATAGACACATACAGATAAAAGACAGCAATTAGGAACGCTGGGGTTGTTCCACCCCACTAACAGGGTGTTTATCTCCACAGGGCTGGAGAAAAGATCACTGGGACATTTAAGTGTGTTACCCTCGATGCACAAAGACAATGGAAGGTGAAGATTAGTCTATCATCCAGGCCTTAGGACATGACTTCCCATTATAACCAGCTCAGTTAGTAATTTTTATAACCAGGACACCTCGAGGGGTTGTCAAGCTAGACAGGCCTGTCTGAGGTTGTCAGGACCATCAGGCAGCCCCCCTTTCATCCATTGCTAATTTCTCCAGACCTATTATTGCTGTGGTAGAAAGCCCTCTCCCAGAGCTGGTTTTCCTTATTCCTTTGGTCTCAGTTTCTACTGCTCTGCCTTGCAGATCGGAGCTCCTGCAGTGGGGTTTGAAATCTGGCCCACAGGCAGGCACGTGGCACCTCTTTACATATCACACCCCATCTCCCTACTTGACTCAGGTTAACAGTTACTTGGTGCCTTACAGTCCAAGGCCCCTGCGCTCTCCCCTGAAAGCTGTGTATATTCCTGTTCAATTCTCTTAATGAGAATAGTTTTCCTTGTAAATCATCTTGGACATGAAAATCTGCCCCCACTCGAGTGAAGTTCCTTCACTTGATCTGATTTATTTTTCTCTTGCACCTTGACTCTCCCATTATATTCTAGAAGGGGGCAGGGTTCCCTCCAGCAGTTCTTTTTCTCCGATCGAGAAGTTCCCAGTGGAGAAGAATACTACTCTGTTCTCTCCTGGTAGGATGTGACACTTTGCCCTGACATCATAGCATTGCCCATTGTCATCTGCAGTGTCGGAGCCTGGAAAGTTCAGTTTCAAGAACACATTTTTAAAGCCAAGTGAACACTGGAGAAGATGCCCACAGATTATTCCTCTGTCGCCCACTTTAAAATGGAGATCAAGAATGAACCTGTAGGTTCAGGCTGCCTCTCTAGTGGTAAAACTAAGAAGTAAAGCTAGCGGTGTTATTTTTGGTGTTATTATGGAAATATTCTAGGAGAGACAGGTGCCAAGGGGAACGTGTCTACATGTCTGGTAGACTCTGCTTTTAACAAGTGACATTTTGTCATTGCAAGTTCCCGACTCTCTGGTTCCGAGGATTAGAGATAGTGCACCCCTGTCTCTTCTTTTTGCAGTGAACACATTCCAGGCCAGGTAAAGAATCTGAGAATAAACTCTTCAACTGGCTATGGAGGCATAGAACTTGTATTTGGAGTTGGTTGAAAATTTCTGCAATTTGGGCACAAAATATTGACATACATTTACCTAAATCTCTCTTCCTAGAAAGATTACCCAAATCAGGAAGTAGTATTCACAGTTTCATTTTACTTTTCTTTTTTTATTTTCATTTTTACTTTTCTTGTCCTAAATTTTAAACTTCTTTTTAAACATTTTCCCAACAATAAACATCTTTATTTCATGTTCTAAGATAGGAAGGAGGAGAATTTATTAGCTTTTCTGGGCCTTGAGCTTGCTGAGGTAGAACCCCAGCTCCTTGCCCTCCAGCATGTACCCATGTGCGTGGCCACAGAGGCCTGGTCCTGGAGGATGTGGGAAGAAGCCTGTCTGCTGGAATCGCTCCTCTAGAAGACTGCTAATTTTGGCATTCTTTTTCCATTTCTTATATTTCTTCTGAATTTTGTTCGACCATTTTTTTGTTTAAAATTTATTTTCCCTCCAGAGTTAGCGTGATCCCTTCTTGTGGCTCAGAGGCAGTGCACAGTGGGACTCGCACTTCTATGGATATGGTGTACTGTTGATAAGCACCATGCGGTTCTTTGCAAGGATCTTGGTGCAAACGAGTTTGTTGTTGGATGCACTGTAGACAACATCAATAATCCCTGCTTTGCATGGACAGCACTGTGAGCCTCAGGAGAAGTTGCCCCTGTTCAGCCTCAAGGCTTGGTGCTTCTCACTGCCTCCTCATACACAGACTGTGTGTGTGTGGCAGGGGCCAAACCCAGGATTGGCCAACAGGTGTCCCAGCTCACATTTTCACTTCTTGTGGTGGGGCTTTCTCTGGCCTCTGGCCTTATAGCATTTGTGCCAGTTGTCCCAAGAGATGTCCATGGCTCAGTGCTGGCTGGAAAACATCTTGAACTTCTAAAAGAAGTATTCCACTAATGACTTCTGAATTGTTCCAGTCATCAGTGGAAATGGAAGGATTCGGGTGCCTAATCTGACCCTTCTGGCCTCTTCCATTATTATTTTGATCAGTTCATTTTCAGCTCATTGTGACACCTCCCTCTCTCGTATCCCTAACAGATGTTGCTGGTTGTTCCCCAAATTTCCATTCTTTCCTCATTTCTGAGCCCCAAACTAATTTAAGTCAATAATGTGCCCAGCTAACAGACTACATTTCTTAGCTTCCCTTCCAGCCAGATATAGATATGTGAGTACATTATAGCTAGCAGTATTAGGTTGAAGTTTTTGGTAAGAATTTTCAGAAAAGTGCCTTTAAAAATTTCATGCTACTAAGAAAAATCTGATATCCCTTTCTATCTTTTTTTCTTCCCATGTTGGACTATAGATGCACGTCTGGGCATCCAGTAGCCGTATTGGACAGGAGGTGGCCTTGAGGGTAGAAGCCACATGCATAAGATGGTGGAGCAGAAAGATAGAAAAGACTCTGCGGAGATAACTTAGCAGCCCTGGACTTCACATCTTGGAATGATTTTATATGAGGGAGAATTAAATTTCTTCCTTGGTAGTCAGCTCATATTTCTAATTTTCATTTCAAGCTACCAACACATTTCATAACATATATCCTGAGAGGGTATAAAGTGATCTAATGCAGTGTAGGTGATGTTTACCTTCACAGGCATGGAGGGAGACATCTTAAGCTTTTGCTTTCAGAACTACAGGCACTTTTCATTCTCAGAAATATATTCTGTCTCTTTGGAGTCCTAGATTTTCCTGACTTCTTCTCTGGGAATAATTTATTCTCCTGAGTATGACGTCTGCAGGAAGGTGCACTTGAATTTCTGTATTACCTACTGGAATTACATAGGCTCCTGAGTCTACTGTTGCCATCTAGAATCTGAGTATTGCTATGTATACATACATATGAATTGTTATGCTGTAATTCAAAAGGTACTTCACATAATTTTTTGTGATAAAAAGTTTTTAGGCCAGGATGATTAACATGAGAGGAAGACGGTATGTCTGACATTGAGAAAAGTCCCAAATGGTGAGAGCTATTAGCATGCCCACACTCTTCCTTGGACTGAAAGTTAGCATCTGAGAGGCATCATAGAGTCTATGAAGCACAAGCAGAAAAGTAGGACTCAGCTCCTGTTCTACTTTGCCTTTCCCCTTCTTTGAACTGAACGTCCCAGCTTTGATAACTGAGGAGTCAGTGAAATCTTCTATAGGGGCCACAAAAACAAAGGAAGCTTTTCATACCCTTTGATTTAGGGATCCAAGCATGTTAGTGATCACTGATTTTTTTTCAGATGGAGTGATTTCTCCTTGTTGGGACACTATACACCTGGTTTTCCCAGAGGTTTGGCAGAACAGCAATCATCAAGAGACAGTTTCAAGCCTTCGATTCCAACACAGCAGGCACCTCAAGGTGTTGAGTTCTTCCAAGAATAGTTATGTCACTAAATAGTCAAACACTTCAGAGTAGTCCAAGCTCCCCAATAATCTTTTCTGTTAAGTAATGAACACTGACAGTGGTCAAAAAACAATTAAGAAGTTTTTATTTAAGATTGAAAGAATCCCACAGGATATATATGTAAACAGTTTGTTTGCTTTGGTTTGGCTCTCTGCAGCCTCATATATTTGATAATACCCCCTGCTCAGGACCAGACTTGATAATCATTTGGTCTCAAAGACACTGTCTGAAGACACCTGACCCAGGATACAGTGTACTGGTCTATGTCAGTAAAATTCTTCAGTGTAAGAATGTCTCAATCTGTAGCTTCTCATCTATTTAATGGACCATGATGATAGTAGGTGCTAGAGCACTACTGGATAAACTAAGACATTATTTAGTATTTTTTTTAGTCAGGATCTCACAAGTCCTTGATCTCAATAATGCAAACTTTCTGAGTACCAGCTTGGAACTGGCAAACCAAAACTCTTCTTTCTGAATTCTATTGGCCAGAGCAAGTCACAAGTTGAATCCAGACTCAAGGGATGGGGCATTAGATGCTTGATGGGAAGAGGTTCAAAGCTTCGCTGCAAAGGATGTGAAACAGGCTCAAACAGCTGGGATGGCGCCTGCCATCTCTGCCCAGCAAGTAGAACAAGGTGCCAAGGGAACAGAGGGAATGTGCCCGTGTTCCAGGGAAGCAAGTCAGGAGACATTCCCAGAGGATGAGCTTTCCAGGCTTAGCCTTGAGTCACAATTGCCCCTGAAGGAGTGAAAATCAAAGTCAGGGGAGGAGCAGGCACTGCAAGGCAGAAGGAGTGACCTAAGCAGGGTGAAAGTCAGGACGCAATTCCTTTTCAAAGTTGTAATGTTTGTGATGGACAAATGAAGGAGAGAATCCCCAAACATTTTTAAAACACAGTCAACTTTTTGTGCAATTTGGAAATTTTTATTCCTGTAATCAAAGGAAATATCTTTTTTATTATTATTTTCTTATCTTATTTGATTAGAGAGATTTTTTTCTTTCTCCTTGACATGCCCAGGAATGGGAAAACACACCTTGAAAGAATGTAATTTTGGACTCTTGCTGTACAAGGAAATATCTTCTTGACAGATTTGTCTTTACAGGTAAGTTCTGAGGGACTAATGAACACCTTTTATACTGAGATAGCCCAGAAGGGAACTATTTAGAATGAATGAATGTCGATAGATAGTTGTCAATCAATCTGTCTAAAAAGCAATTCTCTGAATGTGAGAGGATGATGAGGAAGACCAGAGAAGATTGGAAAAGAAAAAAGATTATTTATAAGACATTAATATATATTTTTAAAAATACTCCATGTCATGAGAGGAGGGTAGAAGAAAACTTCAACTGCTGTTAACACTGAACTATTTTCCAAATATGCAATAGGGAAATCAATGGGATGACTAGTATGACTAGTTTAGAAGAGATTTCATAAAACCATTCAATTCCCATCATTCCCTATCGACTCTTTAGATTATATGATAATCCACAATTTAAAATAATCTTAGTTTTCATACCTGCAAACAAAATATCAGATTTTATTATGTTATGAAATGTTTGCTTCAAACCAGATTAATCCATCATTCCTTATGAATGACAGTCATAAGTTTGAAAGACCTGTTGCAGAACTATAATATTTTCATAACTATAAGTGGATTTTTTTGTTACTTCTTCTTAAGGTTTTAGTATTCCATGTCTAGAATTTCCTCTTACCTGCTGTCTGCACCTATTTCTCTGGCATACCATTACTATTTTTTCTGAGAATAATTCAAGTGTATTTTTTCCTGTATGAACTTTTTCTATCTCTGCAACCTAACTTGGCAGAATCAAACACTTTTGCATGTGCCAGCACTAAAGTTAATACCCATCTCTAATATCTCTTATTACAACACGTTGCACATATTCATTTCTTTCTTCATTATTAGACTTTTTCAAAGATACAGTGTGTGCTTTCTTAATCTTTGTGTTCTGCCTTCCTGTAATGATCACAAAGCAGATGCTTGCTACGTGTTTGTGAAAGTAAGCCATGTATTGGTTTGAGAGAGAAAGAGAGACACATAGAGTCATTCATTTGTTGTTCCACTTATTTATGCATTCATTGGTTGATTCTTGTGTGTGCCCGAAATCGAATCCACAACCTTGGTGTATCAGGATGGTGTTCTAAGCAACTGAGCTACTGGTGGTGGAAGTAAATTAAAATAAATGTGTGAGTGGTTTTCAACTGCAAATGCAGCTTTGAAAGAGATGCATCTGTTTTCATACCAAAATTTTTTAATATTAACTTAGATTTCTTTTAATTTATTGCTTATAAAGCCTCTTCACATTCCCTATCATTCAATTGACACTTACAACAATCATATTATCCTCGTTTTAAAAATGACAGCATTCAGTAGGTTATGTGGCTCCAAAAAAAAGGAAACACATTCAGCCTCAACCATGATCTCCACATTGCACACTGTTGAGAGAAATAGCAAGTAAAATGGGATGGCAGTTCTGCAACTAACATTTTGTAATATCAAGTTTGGGTCACTTTTTTGGATTTATTTTTCTAATATATAAGTAAGAGAAGTCGACTAGGTGACTCCTTCCATTGTAACTTTTGAAACCTTCTCACACATACTTATCAAAACTCTGCAATCTGGGCACCACATTATGTGACCACTAGATGGAGATGCAGCTTAACCCAGCTACCAAGGAAACTGCACAGGGTCAATTTCCCACAGACAGAATTTTTGAAAGATAGATCCTGTAGTATAATCAAGAATTTAACAACTCTCTTTCATATGTGACTTCTTGGATTTCCCTTATGGAGAATGTGTTTTAGAATGCCAGCCATTCACACGGGCAAGCCAGAGGAGCAATGAACTTGAGACTGGTGCTAGAACACTGACTGATAAGAAGGAATTCATGTAAATGTCTGAGAACAAAGTACAATATTCATGCCAGGGTAAACTTAGTAATTGTAAAAAAAAATCCAGACTGTAGATCCTCATCAGACTCTAAACTTCATTACTGCAGACACCAACCAGGTTTGTCCATTTTGAATTCTCAAGAAACACTTACACAGAGAATAAATATACTGAGTGTCTACTGGGAGTGGGAAGGCTAAAGAAGAAATGGCCAGCATTTTATGAGTTCACAGTCAGAATCACACACTTCATGTACATTTACCGGACACTGTCTGTGCCCGGCTCTGTGCTGGGTTTCAGGAAAACAGTGGTAATAAGGATTACCATTTTTTATTGATTGCTAAATGCCAGCGACTTTGCTTAACACTCTAATACTTAACTCCTTAAATCCGCGTGGCAACACTCATAATAAGGGCTATTATCCCTTATTATTTAATGATAATGAAAACGAGGATAGGGGAGATTAAGGAAAATGCTTAGGTCACTATCAAGGTCATTCACTCTGATTGGTACAATAATGGAAAGACAAGGAGCATGTGTCAGTGCAAGAGGAGAGACACACACCAACAAACATGACGGCATTATTTCAGACCGTAACCAGAGATTCAGTTGGAAGCTTTCATATTGCAAAACTTATTCTTGCCTTGATTCATGAAAATCACTTACGGTGGTTCAGAATAGGTAAAAAGCAGGATTTCTGATTCATCTCGGATTAGCCATCATCTGCCAGTTCCTCATGGATGTGTGGCCTTAGTCTGGCTCACCTGGTGATCCTTAATCCTGAAAATGTTACTACGTCAGTTGAAACCACTGCTAATGTGCCCGAAGACTGGAAAATACGCTTTGTTGGCGAGACTTGTCCAGCCTATGCAGAGGCTAGGGAAAAGACAAAGAGATCAGTTCTCAGGGTGATGTAAGACTCCCTCAGACCAGGTTTGATCTGGACCTGTATTCGAACATAGAACGTTTTATTTTTTTTATCATTGTTCAAGTAGAGTTGTCTCCATTTTTGCCCTACCTTGGCCCTCTGTCCCACCCATTTCTGCCTCCCGCCCTTGAACCTACCCTTTGGCTTTGTCCATGTGTCCTTTATACATGTTCCTTGATGGACCTTTCCCTATTTTCCCCATTACCCCTTCCTCCCTCTTCTCTTGTTACTGTCAGCTTATGCTTTAATTCAGTGTCTCTGGTTATATTTTGTTTATTTGTTTTGTTGATTAGGTTCCACTTATTGGTGAGATCGTATGATATTTGTCTTTTACTGCCTGGCTTATTTCACTTAGCATAATTTTCTCTAATTCCATCCATGCTGTTGCAAAGGGTAGGGACTTTTTCTTCCTTTCTGCTCTGTAGTATCCATTGTGTAAATGTACCATATTTTTCACCCTCAGTTACTGGGGGGTGTTTAGGTTACTTCCAGCACTTGGCTATTGTAAATTGTGCTGCCATGAACATTGGGGTGCAAATTGGTCTTTCAGGATTTCAGCAGTGGAATTGCCATGTCGGAAATAGCAATTCCATGTTTAGTTTTCTGAGGGAATTCCATACTGTTTTCCAGAGTGGCTGCACCAGTCTGCATTCCCACCAACAGTGCACTAGGGTCCCCTTTCCTCCACAACCTCACCAGCACCTGTTGCTTGTTGATTTGTTTATGATGGCCATTCTGACTAGTGGTGGGGAATCTCACTGTGGTTTTAATTTGCAACTCTCTGATTGCTAGTGAAGCTGAGAATCCTTTCATATGTCTCTGGGCCCTCTGTGTGTCCTCCATGGAGAAGTGTCTGTTCAAGACAAAAAACTCCTTTGCCAAAAAACATAGAAATTTTTAAAAGTTTATATCCCTTCTACCAAGTTGCATAGATTCCTTTTAAGTCTGCCCTCAATTTAAATGCTTGCTTTTGATGCTATACACACACACACACACACACACACACACACACATATATATATATATATGGTTGACCAAAAGTAGGTTTAAGGTTGTATGTATGAAAAATAATACAGTAATTCATAATTAATAATATAAGAATAAACTGTGTGTTTCATGTACTCAGGACTAGAAACCTACTTTTTCCCCTATTCTATGTATTCCTATGTCCCTCAGATGAAGGGAACTTTTCTGGAAACAAAGAAGGAAGAAAGCAAGAAGGTTCTTTTTGCCCATGGCTTGTAATATGAAATTGACTGACAGTCCCATTACATGAAACATTAAAGAAATGAAAAATCATATTTTTTATCACAAGATAAAATAGGAGGAATAAATCCACATAAACAACCTCCACCGACAAAGGGTGCTATTTTTTATGTACGGACTGGTAGCAGAGATCGTTTATAAGAATATATCTTTGCCAAGGCTATTTTTTTCAAATGACTTCAAATAAGAGAACATCAAACTGAAGGACAAAGATTGGGAAGAGCAAAGAGCCCATGTCAAGGAGACAAACATTCTCAAATATTGTAAATACTCAATTTCAGCTCTGCTTGTTGAGTTAAAGCCTAGTGTGGAAGAGACCGCCAATGCTCTCTCAGTGCTGCTTTCTCCTTAATTCGTTTTAGTAGTAAAAGCCCTTCAGTTGAGTGCAGCCTTGTCACTGAATTCCCCAACTCCCAGTGGCATGTTTGTGTGAGTGGTGGGCCCACCTGCCCCATCACCCTCTTTCCTCGGGGGCAGGGTGCTGATGGCAGCTGCCCCCAGACCTCAGCGGCTCATCTCTGGTTACGAGAGCAGCTTAAATACTATTAAAGAGTATTTAATAGTATTTTCAAAGTACTTTTGTGTACTCTCCCTCTTCTCCTACTAGTGCCTCTTTATGTGAATGTTGTCACATTGATATTGTCCCAAAGGTCCCTTAAACTATCCTCAGTTTTGGGGGATTCTTTTTCCTTTCTGCTGATCTCGTTGGGTGTTTTTTACTACCTTGTTTCCAAATTGCTGATTGGTCTAAACTGCTGTTGATTCCACCTAATGCACTTTTCATTTCAATTTTTGTATGCTTCATTTCTAGTTGTTTTATGTCTTCTATCACCTTTTTTATGTTTTCTATCTCTTTTGAAGTTCTTACTGATATCATCTATCTTCCTCTAAGTTTATGAACCATCTTTCTGACCAATGTTTTGAACACAGTATCTGGTAGATTGCTAGTCACCATTTTTGTTTAATTTTTTCCAGAGTTTTGTCCTGTTCTTTCATTTTGAAGATATTTTGTTTTGTCATCATTTTGGTTTCCTCCCTGTGCTTGTTTCAATGCATTATGTAGATATGATATGTCTCCTAGTCTAGGCAGAGTTACCTTATGTGTAAATGCCCTGTAGGTTTGTAACAGGGTTCAGCCAAGAGGGGGGCGCAGAAAAGGATTTGGGATGGGGTCCAGAGCTCAGGGTTTCCAGGAAATAGTAAGATGTCCTCACCTCCCCCCACCGCCAGGTGTCAGTTGGGGGAAGGAACAAATGGAGCAGGGCCATTGAGAATTGTTTTGCATAGCAACAGTTTCACAGCTAACCTCTGGAATGGTCATTTAACATATCTATAACATTTAACTGGTTTCACAGGTATGTTAAATAGCTGTGGCCATGCTTTGAGCCAGGGAGAAGGGAGTGGCTTCTACCCAGGATGTAACTGGGGGCTGGTCCCCTGAGTTACAGCCCCTGCGTGAGAGTTTGGAGTTGATTGGATCCACACCATGGGGCCACACTTGCCCAGACTCACTATGGCAGCCCAGTAAAGCTGGGAGGGTGTGAGAGTCCTGGCAGGTGTAACCAATTGTAGGAGGAGTTGGAAATGGGGCTGCAAAGGAGGACTGGCACAGGGATTTAAACCAAGACATGACAGCCATTGAGGAGGGAGCCATGTGGTTTTGGGCAGAGTTAGGACCCCCTCTTGCCCAGGTGAAAGAGTACCACTGAGCTTTGCCAGAATGGGGACCCCTGTAGCCAGGTGAAGAAGAAAGCCACACGCTTTTGGTCAGAGTGCTGACCCCTGCAGCTCTGGTAGAAGAGGCCCATGAGTCTTTGGAGTGCTCTCTTGGGTTGTGTGGCATGGGAAGCAGGAGAGACTTTGCCTGGAAGAAGGGTGAAAGAACTCATGCCAGTGGACCGTGAGAAGTTGCCACATGACTTTGGATTAACTGGAGATCCTGCCTGGATGGTGACACGGCTGATGGTACCAGTGGCCTAGAAAAACAGACACGTGCTCTTTTCCTGATTTATGGTACTTGGAGTTGGGACAAGGGGAGAAGGGAGTTCTGTGTGTGTAGGTGTATACACTAAAGGACTTTAATATTTTAATGAAGGCATTAGGTGTGAATAGCATTAAATAAACCTTTCCTATTCCTTTCACAAATCTCTGGCATTAAGAGATGTCTTTCCAATTGGCGGTGGACAGACGAGCCCTATAGGTATTATTATACCGTCCTTGGGAGGAGCCCCTGTTTCCTCTAGGAGTTTTTGGCATCCCTCAGTGGGCCAAATATTGCCCCCCCCCTTGGACCTCTGTTCTGTAATAGGTTGAGTGGTACAATCTCTCTGGTCACCTGAGCAGGTACTCCAGGTGTGTATCTTGTGTGGGATGCACATGTCTTTCTGTTGTAGTTGATCCCTTATTGTTGTCAGCACCTCAGTGGGTGTGACTGACCCTCAGGCTGACTGGCTATGAGGACTGGCCGTGACTCAAGTAGACAAGTTTTTGTGCAGGGGCTGACCCATGGAGAAGGATTCACTATAGCATGGCTATGGTGTCTCCTGAGTCCATCCATTTGATGTGTTATTTGTGGCATTAATTGTGTGGTGTCGGGAGCCAGCCAGAAACCATCCCTTGGCAAGGTCAGGACAGCTGAGATACATCTGCAAGGCAGAGGCAACTGTGGCTTGATTTCCTGTCTATCTCTCCTTACAAGTTCGTTTTGGTGATCAAAAGGTGGTGGGATTGTTAGACACCTGTATTTCAGGTTCACTGATTTGCATAATTCCAATGAAGTTGTACAAAATAATTTCTTGACGAGAGAACAAAGTTCTCTCTAATGAAATAGCCCCTGAATGTCTAAAAGTTGTTGGAGTAACAGCCCCTCCTTTACCTTGAACAGGAATATATGTTAATTAGAATTTAGTAGGCAAAGAAACAGGAGAAGCTTGTTAGATACTATAAACTAAGCACGAAGATACAATTACCAAGGAGTTAGAGTCCATAGTACATAGAGAAACATTTTGGACAGAAAAATAGATAGCTAAGTTAGACATCACAAAGGCCTTATAATGAATTTCCTAACCTCTGCTCGGTCTAGCGTACCTTTTGCCTCATATTAAATTCTAAGACCTTTAATAAACAATAAGACATTCAAACTCTGTACATAGAGCTATTTCAAATTGTCTGGTTAATGGCTCTCCTGGTCAAAACAACTTTTGTTTAATATAACTGAGACTATGGAAATTCTTGTACTTTTCCTGGTTACCTCTGTATTGTCTTTTTCTGCTTAACTGATCATGCCATGCACCTGTTCCTTTAATGTTATGTAACAATCTCTATAAAAATAAAGCCTAAAATCAAACTTTATGAGTTCGGCCAGTCCCACAGAGGCTGGCTGTTCTCTGGCATTCAATCGGGTCTCTAACTCTTCATTTGCCTGCACTGTTCATCCTTCAGGGACCCTGAACCATGCCGAGGCTGGACCCCGTCAGTGTGGTGCTCTGGTGTTGTCTGAAGCTGGCTACCAGGTATGTTGGTTCTGGGGTCTCTTAGAAGGAGCTTTGGAGCAGGTTAAGGTCAGCCTCTGCCTGTGCTCAGGCCAAGGTCATCTGATAGGAGCTACAAAATGATCTGCAGGTATTAGCCACATACAGAGCTTAGAGACTCCTGGGAGTGGTCATGCTATGAACCGAGGTGTGCTGCCCCAAGTACCAAGCTCGGGGCCATTTAGCAAGAGATACAGGGGATGCTGAGGCCCCCACTGCTTATTTAGGTTTTGTGAAATTTTAATATATTTTTAGGAACATCTGTAGTTTGGGCCCAAGCCAGCCTCTTGTTATATTAGCTCCTGAAAGAGGTTCCTGTCAGGCACATGAATAGGGTAGGTTGGGTTCTCAGAGAGTCAGTAGAGTACTGTGAGAATGGTGTTTGCCAAGGCTGATGGAGACTCGGATTTGGCTCCTGCCTGTGTCTGCAGGCTGTATGACTAGGGCTCAACAAAGTAACAATAATGCCTCCTGGCACTTCAGTGCTAGAGAGAGCTGCCCCTCCAGCCCTCACCAGGAAGCCAGATGATTCATTTCCTCCCCTTATGTCCCTGGTGCTTTTTGAGCAGCTGTCTCTTCTCTGAAGTTTGAAGTAACTATGAGCAAGTGAATTTCTGCTCATGCCTTTTAATGATGCTTGGCAGTCTTCTGTCTCATGTGGACTGAGCCCCTGCTGATTTTCATAGCCAGCTGCTGTGGGGCTCTTCTTCCCTGTACTAGTACTCCAGGCTGGAGATCCAGTCTGGAGCTGGGAGCCTTCATCCTCAGAGGGTACTTCCACAGCCAAAGTATTCCTCTGATTCTTCACTGCGGCATGTGGATATGGGACCAGCCCATTTTTCATAACTTCCCTTCTTATCAATCTCAACATGGCTTCTTCTGTATATCTTTAGTTATAGAAGTTCTGTTCAGCTAGTCTTCAGGTGGTTTATAATTTAGTTATAGTTTTGATGTGATTGTGGAAGAGGGGAGCACAGTATATATCTAGTTTGTTGCCTTGTCCAGAAGTCAAGTCAGGATACAAACGTATCATCTGTTAGACAAATATTTCTGCTTTCATTAGCATCATAAAGATGAATTTGGGGGGCATGTAAACTGATAAAAATTGAACTCAAGATCTTAGTTTCTATGCTTGACATTCCTGTTACTATCAGCCAATAGCAATTTAAAACAGAGCCAGAAAATAAGCATTGTAAATACCTTGGCTACGCCCCCGACACTCCACCAAGCCCTCTCCAGTCCCTCTCCCCCTCGTTCCTGCCATCAGTCAACAGATAATTTCATACTAAGTCTCTACTTCTTCTCAAAATCTTCCTCAATTACAGGCAGTTGTATTTACTAACAGAATCAGCAGTGTGTAGGAGATGTAAATCTATTTGGCTTAAGGTGGGTTCAGGTCTATTTACATCCAAGAGAGACACTTGTAAGATATAAATGACTCAAAAGGTATAATTTCCCAGCATACAAGAAGGCAGATGTGAAGGAAACCATTCCACCATCCTCAAAAAGACAGCCAGGGACTTCTGCTTCTTCTAACTGACAAGGACAAGGACAGGTCTCTGTTTGATTTCCCATTACTGCCATCTATTTGAGTGCCAAGATTCTGGGATTTCACAGCAGTTTTCTTGGATCAGAAAATTAACAGCAGTGTCCTCACTCTGAGGAGTTGGTAAGTAATGATATGTGAGAGCAGACCTTCAAGAATAACTACCACTGAGGCTGTTGTAATTGCTCTTAGCAGCGAATTTGGTGGGGCAAAGTGTGCCTTCCACCAGTGTAACCCACTCCCGTTCTCACTCCCAAAAGAACTGGAAAATTAATCTTTGACAACTAAAGAACTACCATAATTCTTTGCATTTTGTCTTGGCATTTTGGCATGAACATTGGAATTTCTTCCCACTTTTTTTGTTGTGCCAGTTTTTTACTGTGACTGTGGTCTGTTAATGCCATTATTTTGATAGTTTAAAAGAAAGAATGTTCTATTGCTTTCTGTGGAATATTCAGTGACCCAAGTCTGTAATTAGTGTTTCCAAGCACCTGCCAGTTTCTATTTTTCTTTTTCATTTTAGTTGGAAGACCCTAAGTCAGTATTTTAATATCATTTTGTTTGTTTTAATATTATTTTCATAGCAGCTTTGTCAAAATTACTTAAATAACTAATCAGAAAATATTTTTTCTCTAAATAAATAAAAAATACCTACCCTCCTGAGATCAAATTTATACTAAAAATATGTAAGGACCAACAAAGGCTAGAATTATGTAGTCTGAAAAAAATCTTTCAAGTTATTGAGTTTTATACTGCTGGATAGAATATTTTAAATACAATTCTAATTCCCTTTTAGTATAATAATTTTACAAACAGGATAGAAAGACACTACACTTGACTCAGTTCAGTTTTGTGATCTTGATTAATACAAAAATTAAAAACCTCTATTTTCTGTGATATAATATGAAAAAAATTAAGATAAATACATGGGTTGTAACCTTCTGAAATGAATATCTCAGGCCCTGGGGTGGCCAGCTGTGTGGACAAGGGACACCAGGAGCCAGGAGCCAAAAGCAGCTTCTAGCCGAGTTCTCCAAAACTGGAAGCCACCAGAATTTTTATGTGAGCAACAGTAGTTAACTTTGATGATGTAATATTGGAAGCAAGGCCTCTGTAGGGGAAACTCATTTATCTTTTCTTTATGCAGCTAGAGGTTTCATTAAGAATGCTAAATCCGTGTATATGACATGCTTTTATAAATATCTTCAAATAATCAACAAAAGTCTAGCTTTGGTATAATATAAAAAGAACCCAAAAAGGATTTAAGGTACCTGAATCCATGACTATTTTTGTAATCTTCAGGCATCAGTCAAATTACCTCTCATTCCTCATATAGTGAAGAAGTTGGAGTATCCCCGAAGTCTGAGACTGGTTTAATAAAGATAGCAGAAAACATTGATTTAGGCAGACATTGGTATAATTTCAGTTCCACTGCCATTTTTTTTTAATTTCTACTTTTCTCCAGCTCATAGATCCATGTGTCTGCTAGCTCTGCAAAGACTGAAGAAAGGTCCAGTTGGAATGAATAGAGGATTTAGGGATTGAGAGTAGTAATGAACCAGCTGAGGGAAGGCATTTACTGAGAGATGTACAATATTAGGCCTTCAGTAATAATAGCTGCCACTGTGTGCTAGTGTTTGTCAATAGATGTGTGGTTAAAAATCTATGTTAACCCAAGAGACTATTACTTGGCCATAAAAAAGAAGGGCATCTTACCCTTTGCAACAGCATGGATGGACCTGGAGAGCATACGTGGAATCTAATGAACAAAATAAACTAACATACAAAATAAAAACTGACTCATAGATACAGAGAATAGACTGACAGCTATCAGAAGGGTTTAAGGGGCTGGATGAAAAATGTGGAGGGACTAAGCAAAAAGAAAACCTCATAGTCACAGACAACTGTATGTGTGACTACCAGAGAGCGAGGGAGGTGTGAGGAGGTAGAAAAGAATATAGGGGGGATAAATGCTGATGGCAGGAGTCTTGACTTGAGGTGGTGAACACACACTACAATATACAGATGAGATATTATAGATTTGCACACCTGAAAACTATATCATTTTATTAACTAATGCCACCTCAATAAATTCAATACAAAAGAAAAAAATAGTCGAAGAATAAATTGTAGGGTGGCACAGAATGAGATATATGTTTGGGGAAGCCCCTCCTATTCTCCTCCCTCAACCATGTCTGTGGCAAGAATTCCATCCATTATTTCATTCATACATTAGATAAGCATTGATTAAACTTTCACTGTGCACCAGGTCTTCGTCCATGTTCCTCGATCTACTTCTTTGCCAAGCGTGCGTAGGCTGAAAATCTGTTTTAACATATGCATTAAAGTGATGAATATTTTAGTGCCAATTAATTATGATTTTCTCATTTCTAAACACCAAGGCAGCTTTTTAAAATTTACCTCTAGACTCTTACATGGCATATAGTTTATTTTTTAGATTTTTCTTTACACTTAACTAATTGAATCAACTTTGTCTTCAAACTCTCTCTTTAGAATATCTTCCCAGATTATGTTCCAGTTACTTGCATTTTTAAACATGTGAAGAATTGTATTTAAGTTTCTGTGATTTTTCTCCATTGGGAAGATCTTATCCCCTTTTGCATTTGCTTTGAAATATGTTGAAATATATCATGGGAATCCCGAGGTTCCAAATACTAGGGAAAATTGGATTTGTATAATACTCTCATAAGTCATATTTATAAAGTATTGTAAGTATCATCCAGTAATGAAGAGACATAGATTCTGGCTCCAAATTCTTCAGTGATGTGCTGTGGTAGGAAATGTGACAACTTAGGCCCTTAGTTTCCTCATATTGAAACAAGGAAAATGATAATATATGATTTCTTCATGAGAGTATTGTGGAAAATCAAATTAGGTAGATATATAATAAAAACCTTCATAATTATAAAGTGCCTTACAACAAATACCAACAATTACCTTTTCTCTCCTTTGTGAGTCTAGACCACTAAGCTGGTTCAAATGTGAACACAGGAGAGAATGATGATTTGGAATAGATTTGTGTAGCAATAGATTTGTGTTGCAATAGATTTGTGTAGCAATAGATTTGCGTAGCTAATAGATTAGTGAATTAGCAATTATGCATAGAATAAACACATGGTCAAGGTTCTAGTGAATGGGCCTGACTACAAGGTCCCTTTATTTGGCCCCACAGAGAGGTAGTTTGTACTACAAAAGCAGACTCAGTAGTGCTTATAGAATAGGGAATCTACCAGGAAAGATCCCCTCAGAACCATAGGAAACCTGTCTTGCATATCATTTTTCATGGAAGGAGGCAGAAAGGGGAGATGTTGCATATCAGCGTGAAATGGTCTGCCCTATTTACTTAAAAGGGCATTCTTGCCATGCCAGTAATATATGCATTTACAAATCATTTATCTTTCTGTTATTGAGCCTT